GATTCCCCCCTCCCCTGTCCGATCCTCCAGTGCTGACTGGCCGAACGGACGGAGGAGGGTCAGGTAAAGCTGGCTCTGCCTCTAGATAGGCAGAGCCAGCTGTCACTCACGCAGCTGGGCGGATCCTGTCATCTAAGTCGGGATCCGCTCCGGCGTCTCAGTATACCGCGAGCTGCAGCTCGCAGTATACTAAGCTTAGGGTGACAGGAGGACGCTAGTTTGTGTCCTCCCGTTACCCTTAGGAGAACTATGGCGAAAAGCCCTGACCCCATAATTCTCCTTTTTTTACCTTTTTTTTTATCACTTGTACAGATCGAGCAGTGGCTTCCCTGCTCTACATTTAACCCTGCTTCTCTAAAGCAGGGCTAAATGTAGAAAACTACCCATCTGGCACATAAAACTGCATGTCCCGTGCATCAGGAGATAGTAATTCCACACCCCTGCTGCCCCTCTACTCCCTGCTACCCCAGGCCCGGGCCTCGGTTGGCCTTGTGGGAAATCCGACCCTGCCCACCAGTGTACAGCTTAGCACTAGAACCGGGACTTTACTCATGGTTTTGAGGGTATATTTACACCAATGTATTTTTCTACCTGATGCTTTTTCCATTTAAATCAAAGGAAATGCATCAAAATGTACCTGGCGCCCAATGCTGCACATTTTTTAATGTATGTTGCAATGCACTTTGTAATAAATGCGATTCAACCTGGTCCATGACTTGCACTTATATACGTGGTAACACGTGCCTTGACATGCCTTTTGATGCTTTTCCTTTATTTTTATTGGAAAACGGCATTCCGGCCAAAATGACTCCTCTAAGGCCCCGTTCACATATAGCGAATTGTCGCGCGATTTCGCGCATTTTTGCCGCGCGATATCGCGAGAAGTCGCCGGCCAATGTTATTCAATGGAGCTGTCTTAACTCCATGTCGCTCGTCGCGGTCGCAAGTCGCTTCTACCGGACCCTTTTTTCGGCGGATTTTGCGCGATTTTACTTTTTTTCTATGGAGCCCGACGGGGAAGGTCGCGCTACCGTCGCTGGAACGTCGCCCCGAAAGTCGCGCTATCCCGGCCGTGCGGATCCGCTGCAAAAGGTATGTCGCTATATGTGAACGGGGCCTTAAACTGTTCCAACTGATTGCTCCAACAATGGGCCTAGATCAAAATCAATCAGAAAAGTCATTCTGCTGCGTAAGACATGAACAGATTATCCAGTATACTGATCAATATATCAGTCATTTCCCTGTCCTCCACAGCTGGGGCCATAGATAAATACATGCTGTGCAAGCAGTACAGTGAAATGATATTTAACCAAGCAACATTTGCACTGGAAGGCAGAAAATATCAGCTTTATTGTGGTTAATTACAGTAAATAACAGATGTTAGAAATAATTGTTTCGGCTTAGATGAATGCCAAATTATTTTGCACAATAGATGACGGATTTAGAACCCTTAGGCCTTGTTCACACCAAGAGTGTTCCAGGAGCAAAGCAGTTACAGACCGGATCAAAACTGCGTCCAATGTATTCCAATGGTATTTTGGGCTCAAGTTCACACCGCAGCTTTCAGTTCCAGAGCATGTAAAAAAACTGCAGCAAGCCCTATTTTACCTGCTCTGGAACGCATGCAAACGCATCAAAAACGGACTGGAACGCACTGAAAGCCAATTTTAAACTAAAAAAAAAAATGCATCACAAATGCGGCACAACCCACTGCACTGCGTGTGCAGAAACTCATGCTGATCTGCTCTGCATTTGGTGTGAACAAGGCCTTAGGGAATGTAATGGTAAACTGTAACCTGGAGATTTTACACTGTGGAATGCAATATATAATATAATATAGTGCGCTTTTATTAGCCTTTTAGATGTGCTCACCTCATTGAGTTCCCTGGTGACCCTTCTCATCTCTAGTACTTACAGGGGATTTGTTTTGTAGTTAAATAAGTAATCTCTTGAACTGGCTGCTAGACCAGCTCCTCTGCTCCTACGATAGTATGTCCCCCTGTGTTCTAACTGGTTCTCAGACCACTGGAGGGGGGAGACAGGCTGCAGGGACCAGTCTAGCAGCCAGCCAGGTCTGAGGTTTGGGTAATTCTTTGTTGTTTTATATCCTAGACAAAAATGAGCACTTTACCCTTGCAGTGCGGGGGTAGCCCCACTGCAAGGGTTAAGTTTTTTTCTTCTGTCCAGAGTTCTTTTAAAGTAGAATTGAACCCTCAATCTTTTTGTTCAATAATAAGTCCAGATCAAACAAAAATACATGGCCCAGCATAGTATTTCTTTGCCCAAACACTTAGACATCACGTTTCTGAACAGCTCCAACTCTCTCAGCTCAGCTTCCCTGAATTTCTTGTCCAGTAAGAGGGAGGGGGGGGTACTGGACTGGCTTGCCCTCGTATGCTTGTGTTTTCCAGGCACACAGCTTAATAGCAGACACAAGGACAGCTCAATAGGAAGCTGCAAGGGAAAGGAGCCACCTTAAGACAGGAAGTCAGGACCAGTGCTCAGGGGACCTGATGATTCTGCAGGAAACTAAATCTTTTAAACATGAAGGAACAGCATCATCAAGGAGCATGTAAGTGCTTGAAACAGCATATAAAATGGATTAAAAACCTTTTAACTTTAATACCACTTCAAGAGAAGATTGTTGGGAAAGTTAATATCATTGTTTGGGGTTTCATTTTAGTGTACAGGAATTTACATGGACACAATATTTTTACAAAATGTAAAAAAAGAAAATGAATGCATACACCCCATCGAAGGATTAGTTGGCTGCAATGTATTTCATATTGCTTTGCATATACTTTAAAGTGTAATGTCATAATCTCTTAATTTGTGATTGGAGAATAAAGGAGCAGCGCACTGATGCGTTCATACTTTGCCTTTGTATGCGCATGTTTACTGACAGCACTGCAATGCAGCAGAGCTCCCATGGGCTCCCTGTGCTGCCTTTCCCGCAATCAGTTTGAATACCATGGTGTAGGGAACTACACGCAACTGATATTAAGATATACAGTATAGTATTACGGTACCCAATTTATGCTAATTGAATGAAAACATATTTAACGTTTTTATCATTTTATACAAATGGTGTTTTTAAAATCCTATCCTAGAGTTTCATTTTAAAGGTTCACTCGCACAGCAAAGAAAAGGGAATTAAGCTTGCCAGGTCAGGGCGGCTGGGGCACACAGGGTATGTGTGTATTTACTCCATGAGGGGTTGATGGGAGTCAGAGAGGTAGAGGAGACAAAAATAGTGCAGTTGAATCGTGGGCAATTAAACCATGTAAAAAACGTGTAGAAACTCACCATGAGGTTCTCATAGATGTGCTGTCATCGACGACGAAATCTGTGCTGGAGACTGTTGTCTGACGGTTTCTCCTGGGCGTTGGTGTGTGCGGCGAGTAGCGGGCACAGGAGTCCCAAATGACTCAGTGCGACGCTGCTGAGTAGATGGACTCTTGAGTGTTGCGTCCTGCTGGCCCTGTCTGGAGACGTGTTCATGAGCTGTGGCGTGGGGCTTGAGCACATCATCTGCCATACTGTTGCCCACTCCCCGAGTTTATCCAGCTCCTGTAGTGTTGCACTGTCTAAATCCGTGTCTATTACCCTCCCAATTTTTGTATCATCAGCAAACACTGAGACATGGCTACTCACTCCCTCCCCGATATCATTAATAGGTTAAAAAGCATGGGGCCCAGCACAGAACCCTGAGGCACACCGCTCATCACTTCAGCCCAGTCTGAAAAGTTGCCATTAACTGATACTCTTTGTACACGTTCCTTTAGCCAGTCTTCTATCCACGTGCACACTCTTTCATCTATACCCATAGCCATAGCCCTCAGCTTGTATAACAAGCGTCTATGAGGCACCGTCTCAAATGCTTTGGAAAAGTCCAGATATACTACGTCCACCGGCCTACCTCCATCCAGATCTCTACTTACCTCTTCGTAAAAAGTTAGCAGGTTGATCTGGCACGAACGATCCTTCCTAAAACCATGCTGGTTATCACTTATTATGCCATGATCCTGGACGAATTCCACTAAGTAGTCCTTAATCATTCCCTCTAATAGTTTACATACTACGCATGTCAGACTAACTGGTCTGTAGTTCCCCGGTTGGCATATTGACCCTTTTTTGAATATAGGTACCACATTAGCCCTCCCGCCAGTCGCTTGGCACTCTACCAGCCATTACGGATTCCTTTAAAAATGAGGAACTATGGTCTTGTTATCCTTGTTCAGTTCCTTGAGTACCTTGGGATGTAGATTATCAGGTCCTAATGCTTTATTTGCATTAAGTAGTTTAAGCCTATGTTGTATCCCAGTTTCCGTAAACCACTCAGGTGTATTTCTTGTAAAATGTTGTGTTTTTATCCTGTACATTAAACCCGTCTTTTTCCCTGGTAAATACCGACGAGAAGAAAGTATTTAGCGCCTCTGCTCTCTCCCTGTCGTTTGTGACTAACCTCCCATTTTTGCCCTTTATTGGGCATATCTGTTCCTTTCTCCCCTTTTTACTATTTATGTATTGAAAAAAGCTTGCTTCTTATAAAATCTTAAATCAATGAAATGTACAGACATGGGTTTTCTAGGAAGAGATCTGTTTTTAGGATTGCTTGTTCCTAGGTAGCCCCAAATGCCATAGCTTGCTTATAAAATCTTAATGTAATGGAATGCACAAGCATGGTTTTCTAGGAAGAAATATTTTTTTTTAATGATTGCTTGTTCTTATAGGTAACCCCAAATGCTATATCTTGCTACTTATATGATCCTGATTTCATGAACTGTACAATTGGACAGTATGGGCCAACCCATGACGTTCACTGTCCGGTGTTAATTGTACAGTAAAGGTCTGTCTCTGGTTGGGCTGAAGTGACAATGGCTTGTTTGTTTCCAGCAGCAGCTGCAAATATTTATATCCAGTTAAACAAAGCATCATTTCATTGACTGAGGTTATGTATGAAACAATTTCTAATAAGCTCACAGAAATCCTTCACAATGGCTGTTAACATCTGCCAAACTGAAGAACACTGGAGTTGTAAAGTCTGCAATAACTGTCACTGTTCCACAGAATAATTTGCAGCTTTTATTGTTAATGGAAATGATATTCATTAGTGCAGAGCAGTCTGAGCCTCAAGTTGAAGGATAGAGCTGTTTAGCTGCATATCAAGGAGATGGATTTGTTGAAGTAGCACGGGGAAATTTCACCATGTCCTCTCTTGCTTTCTCCATGAGTGATACGCTGCTGAGTATGCGAATCCCTGAGAATGTTTGTTTTGTTGCTTCCTTTGCAGTTCCTGCGGACCTGACTCCTGAAGAGCGTATTGAGCTGGAGAACATCCGCCGTAGGAAACAGGAACTGCTGGTGGAGATACAGAGGCTTCGGGATGAGCTGAGTGAGGCCATGAATGAGGTGGAAGGCCTTGAGGCCAACGAAGGAAGGTATGACTCCACCATCCAAGCTAATACATTTTGTTTTCTTTATTAACATGAAGTCTTAGTAGATCATCATGGCTACCTACAGTTCAGATAGCAAGTCTTGTAGATTCATCCAATCATCTTTTTATTTTAATGTGCTGAGTTCTGCAGATACAGGATTCCATGCAGTCACTTGCTATGTCTAAGCTCTTTTGTAGAAGTATAGCTTCTGTTTTCTTTCTATAACCTTCAGCAGTAGGAACACCTCACTGGTCATATAGCCTTTGCTCACCAGCAGTTAACTAGTATTGTGAGACATTACTTTTACAATTTAAGAACATCTAATGTTCTAGACCTGGAGTAAGTTGGTTTCTAGGTTGCAGGTAATAACAATAAATGGGTGCCTATTGTATAATTTATTGTGGCCCTCACAGGTTAATTTACTTAGCTGCAAAGACATTGGTGAGTGTTTAATTTTTACACTTTTGGCATTGTTTGAAACATAGTATAACCTGAAACCCCCCTCATGAATATTAAAAACAAAATAGAGCATTAGTTTATATCCAGTTCAAAGTTTGTTTTAAACCGAGCTTAGAGCATCAGTAAAAATGAATGTAAATGCTCCATGCCTTGACATAACCCTTGAGATAATCCTATGTGGATCCTTATATTCCTATCCTTATTTGTATAAAACATTTTATTTATACTGCATTCATGATTTAGTATATGTGTAGCCTCTTTTGTAATTAGGCATGTTGGACTTCAGCTCCCTGTAGAAAAATGTCACTGTATAATGTTTTTTAAACTTGAAATTTAGCCAATATTTGACAGTGGGAAAAGGTTACAACCTTTTTTGTTTTTTTTTGCTTTTAGTCTTTTTCCATTGGAAACATTTCCCCTCACTTTCTGTTTGGAGACTCGTTAAGGAACTAGAAGAAATCTCTCCACAATGAGAGAAAATCCCACCCTTAATTGTTGTCCCTGGAATAAATGTCATTATTGTAAGATTTTCCCTATACTTGTGTTGGTGACAACTTGAAGGTTTTAGATTTTGTCTGTTTGCCTTATTAATAAAGGCCACTAACAGAAAGTGATGGGGAAAAAGCAATGTATATGTGAAGCACAAACTGGAATTGTTCCCCTTCATCCCTGCTCCTGTGACAACTCCAAAATCTTTTCCATCACCTTCTGCACCAGAGACCATGGTCACCAAGACAAATAGAGAGAGATTGATCTCTAATGTCCCCAGGGGTACAAGGACAAAAAATGTCCCCAGGGGTACAAGGACAAAAAATTATATGAGGTTTTGACTTTACACGCACTTTAAATTCAAGGAGATTGGAATCTAATATTCCTGCTAGTGTCATGAAACATGTATTTTTGGAGCATTCCAAAAATACAAGAACCATTTGCTCCTAAACACTGAGTAAAACTTGTTAAAAACTGGAAGAGTATATCGTTGTATCAAAAGTTCTAAAAAGAACTAATGGCTTAAACGTTTCTGTAGGTCAGTGCACATTTGACATTCTGATCCACTACAAATTTTGACTTTTAGTAAACAAGGAAAGGTGCTAATATACAGATCAGCGGATCTTCTAAACATACATCCTAAATAATTTGTTTTCCCAAGTGATTTAGGATTATTGGTAGTGCCAGCCATTCTGTGCCTGCAGCCTCTTTGTTTAGGTATGACATAGGAGGAGGAGCCATGCACATCTCATAATTCTTCCTAAGGTAACTTTAGACTTTGGGAGACAATGGAACTCCCATAAGCAATGTCCTTCACAGGAAGGGTGGTTGTGGTTTTCCATACATTCTGTTAGGGTTTTCTTAAGTTGCCAGATTAGCGATCTGTATTGCTTTGTAGAATTCTTCAAAAGAGACCATTGGTAATCCATCCTTTTTTGTTTTTTATTTTTCTTTACATTTTTGTATATATGTAGAATTCTTTCAAATAACTGAAATGTAAGCTCTTTAGTTTATGTCCCCCCAGACCACCCACCAACACATATGCCCTTTTTGTTTCCTCCAATCAGCTACTGGAGAAAAGTATTTAACAGCAAGTAAAATAAACCTTTTAATAACCCCATATACCGCTGGTCCCATTTATCATCTGTAGCCTGAGCCTGAATAATAGGGGCATCTTTATATCTTAAACTGTTAGAATTCACCTGTAACCAGTGTTTATAGTTTATAGTGGCAAGACATTGAAAGAGGTAAGATTAGTCATATAGGTATTAGAATCTGTCATCAGAGGGTTGCAACACTAAAACCACAAATACAGATTATTACTCATTGTTTTGCAATAGGTTGTCTTCAATTTCTGTGACAGTGTTACTGCGTTCTCATGTCAAGAACTGTATATGTGGTTATTTTATGGATACATGGTCATTGTTCTTTTTCTTTTTTTTTTTCCTTGGCACAGTAAAACCTTGCAAAGGAATCGGAAAATAGGAATGGGCAGAAAGAAGTTTAATATGGATCCTAAAAAGGTATTTTTTCCCCCCTAGTTCTGGTGAAGGAATAGGTGTATAATAGCTTTAATTGAACTTTACTTTATAAGCACTCATTTTAGTGTGCACATCTTAGTGATCCCCCTCCCCACTTCCCATATGCTGCTTTAAGGACTTACCTTTAATGATACCTCTTGATCTGATCTTTCCAGTAATTTTCAGGAGTCCCTCCAGCGCTGGTGCCGGTCTCTGATCCAGTGCTGACTGCTGTGGCTTCTGTGTCCCACGTTGTCTGCATTGACTTACACTGTGTCTTTCCTCTTCTCCCGGCTGAAGATCTCTGCTGCGCATGCACCCGCCCCCGCTTGAGAATCTTCAGACGGGAGCGAGCGGCAGAGGCACGGGTAAGTAATTACCTATTTGGTAACTTTGTTTTTTTTTAATGTTGCATATATCTACTGCTTGCTGGCAGTAAATACACTGAGTGGCCAGATTATTATGACCACCAGACGTTTGTAGGCAAATTAGCTATAATTAGCTATAATTTCGCGCTGAGCTTGCTAGAGGGCCAGACCATTATAAATAGGGAAGCAGGTTGTTTACCACGACAGTAGAAGTGATTTTTTTATCAGTAAAAAAGCAGAATTAGTTAAATGTTCAAGAGCAGGAGTTGTTAAAGTGTTTAAAGACTGGACTGTCAGCCGAAAATGTGGGTCTAAACGTGCGAATTGTGGCCGTCAGTGACTAGTCAATGTTAGGGCAGAACGGAGAGTGGCAAGACTGGTACAAGACAACAGAAGGGCAACAGTGCATCAAATTACTGCAGATCTTAATCAGGGATCCTCTCAAATGATCTCTGAACGCACTGTTCGCCGTACACTGCATCGTATGGGATAAGGAAGCCGGAGGCGTGTTCGAACAACTTTGCTGTCTGCAGTTAACAAGATAAAACGTCTCCAAATCGCACAGGAACACAATGATTGGACAGTCGAGCATTGGAAAAAAGTCATGTGGTCCAATGAATCACGTTTCCAGTTGCATCATGCAGATGGAAGAGTGAGAATTTGGCGGAAACAGCATGGAAGCAGGCACCCCACATGCATGAGTACAACCCTTCAAGCTGGTGGGGGCAGTGTTATGGTTTGGGGCATTTTTTCCTGGCATGATTTGGGCCCTTTAATTCGTGTGGAACAACGTCTGAATAGCGCAACATACCAAAGTATCGTTGCTGATCAAGTTCATCCTATCATGTTGATGGCGTATCCCAATGGAGATGGCTTCTTCCAACAAGACAATGCGCCATGCCACGGTGCTCGTATTGTGCAGGAGTGGTTTCAAGAACATGCGGGAGAATTTACCTTGCTTAGGTGGCCCCCACAATAGCCAGATCTCAATCCAATTGAGCATTTGTGGGACGAAGTTGAAAGAGCCATCAGGCAGCTGGTTCCACAACCATCAAATCTCACAGAACTGGACAGTGCTATTCATCAGTCATGGTGTCCCATTCCTCGCATCACCTTTCACCATCTCGTGGAGTCAATGCCAAGAAGAATCGCAGCAGTATTGAAGGCAAAAGGTGGCCCAACGAAGTACTGATGGGGTGCTCATAATAATCTGGCCACTCAGTGTATATGCAAAACAAAAGGAAGGTTTAATTCTACTTTAAGGTTAAACCTGTTGCAGACCTGAGCAAGCCAAATTAAGGATATAAAAGAAACAGAGGCTCAGCTCTTTGTTCTGCAAATAGTCCAAATGAAAAAGGAACGATAACTTTTATACAGGGCTCATGTCATAATAGGCTTTCAGCAGTTCCCATAATTGTACATAATCTGTTGCCTACCCACTTAATGGCTATGATATCTTGGGACAATGGTGATCCAACGTTATTTCCGCTAAGATCAGCCTAAGAGGTTTCTGCATGTGCCTCCCATCTTACACTTCCATAATATAAACCTAAACATTTGGGCATGTTAAAGCATTTGTTTATACTTGAAGCTGTACTGAAAGATGTCTGACTTGCATGTCAAACTTAACTGAGGTGCATTAAAACTTAATGGAGTACTGGTCTGTGGATGTTAGGTTGTTGCCATCAAGTACCCATCCCTTCTTTGCCTCGCTCTTCACACTGTATTTCTCCTCTGTTTCACTCTTGCTTTAAGTTTACTATAGTGTTCTCTCACACCTTCACTCTGAGCACCTCTCTTGCCTTTTTGTTTACCAGTTCTTGATCTTAAATTAACTTCTTCCTTTCATGACCTTTCTTCTTACCTCAGCTGTGCAATACATACCAGTTGACATGGCATGCAGGGCTTTAAAGCCTCCACTACCATTCTTTACACACCGTTAAGGAGCTTCTGTTAACTTTTATTCACTAGCCTTTCATGCTGCATGTTTTGTCTAGCTGGTGCCATCAACACAGTTGTGATTCCCATGCCTCATACCATACACCACACTAGGTCCATCTTCTAGCCTACTGTGCACTAAGTGTGAAAAAAAGGCACAAATCCATGGCAGTGGCACAGCAGAGTTGCCACCAGAAGCTGGTAAGAGTCTTTTCATTAATGGGTGAGAATAAATAAGAAATGCCAGACAAAGCACATTATTCATTTTGGGGAAGCATAGCGTCCTGTTGTCTCTCCTAGGCACTGGCTCTGTGAAGCACGTGTTTTCCCACGCTGTGACTTCCTAATGTGCTGTGCAGGAAGGAAGTCTCCAAACTTGCATGCCATATAAATAAAGGGTGATGGAATCTCCTTCATTTTTATCCATTGCTTATTGTTTGCGGTGGTGTGCCACGTAAATTTGTGCGCGTGTATAATATATAATTTTGCTGTTGTGCAACACAATACTATTTTTTATTATTTTGATTCCAGGGGATCCTGTACCTTCAGGAGAATGATCTGCTAAGAAACACTGCAGAGGATATAGCTCGTTTTTTATACAAAGGGGAAGGCCTGAATAAGACTGCCATTGGGGACTATCTAGGAGAGAGGTACACTTGTATATCCACTTTTTTCAAATTCCATTGATCATATTCTCACTTAGGATAGAACAATGACAGCTGAAATCAATGGGCATTTCATATACTACACTTATTTCCTTATATGTGAGGCCAAGTGTACTATTGCTTTGTACCAATGTACAGTTCTTACTTTAGGTTGATTACACCAAAATCACAGGCAGTGCTGTCAGCACTGCCCAGTTGACGTTTGCTGGACTGCAGAACATGACCAGTCTCCTCATCTGTACAACATAAGGTGGCGGTGTTTAGTAGTCCAGAGAAAAACTTGGGCAGGACTGACAACACTGCATGGGATGTCAGTTCAGTAGTCGGCTCACCACTATTTTTCTTAAATTTTGGTACGAGATATGTATGCAGTGTTGAAAGTTTAGAATACCTCTTCATTTTTTATTACCTTCTTTGTCCCAGTTGTGGCAACCTTTTACTCACTTCCTATGTGGTCACCCAAACAGGAACACAGATTGCCGTAAATCCCATAGAATGAGGAAGAGTTGGAGACCCTGTCAGGTTTTTTTTCTTTCTTCTTTTTACCGTCTGTGCCACTGCTGGGACGATTGCCCCCGCATCCTATGTGTCTCAAAGACACAGACCGCAATAAGGCCTACCACAGGTCTTCACTTTATTTTAAACTTAAACATTTTTGGCTGGATTTGTACTGTTCTAGTACAAGAAGATTAAACAAGGGTTAACCAGATACATTTTAGATTGCATGCATTAGTAAAGCTTGTCTTTTAGATGTATCCATGTATGTGATGTCACAGAAGTGTAAATATACATCTTTGATAACTAATCCCTTTTTTTTTTTTAATAGGGAGGACTTGAACATTTCTGTTCTTCACGCTTTTGTGGACCTTCACGAATTTACAGACTTAAATCTTGTGCAAGCTCTCAGGTCAGCTGTGTGATCCTGTAGATGTTGCTGTAAAACCACTGGTTTCTTTTGTCTCGCTTATGTGCAAAGAAACAGGAAGGCTAATCTAAAAGAGGAAGCGGTCACTTTTACCGCACAGAATAGGCAAAAGTCTATTCAGGAAACTGTAAAACAAGTGGTGGAGATGAGGAACTCGGCCCCTCTGCTTCAAATGATGATTTGAAATGTAGATAAGGTTCACTTTACACGCATTTGTTAAATAGTTCTATTTTACATGCAACGCAATGCTCCTACTGTGAGTTTGCTTAGAAAACAGAAGTGCAATTGGACACAATATTGCTGACTGTTTAAATGTTCTACATATGGTAGTGCTTTGACGTTTCAGCTGCCCACCCACATACATGCACACCTTATTCTGTGTATGCAAGCCATTGCTTAACACAGCACACCTTTTCTGCCCATCCATTCACATAGGATAGTTTTCAGATGTTGTTTTTTTAAAATGCCAAATTAAAGGAGAACTGTGGGGTCAGGGCTTTTCCCCATAATTCTCCTGAGGGTGACGGGAGGACACAAACTAGCATGCTTCCGTCACCCAAAGCTCAGTATACCGCGAGGTGCAGCTCGTGGTATACTGAGACGCCGCAGACGGGGCGGATCCCAACATTACAGTGAGCGCTGGAGGATCGGACAGGGAAGGGGGGAAAACCCTGCAGGGAGTGACAGTCACTGCTCTCTGCAGGGACAGGATCGAGAAGTGAGCGAGCGACGGTATGTGTTCGCTCACCTCCCGATCTATTGAGCCGACCTGTGACAGTTTTATTGTCACAGGTCGGCTAGAACTGAGCCTGAGTAATTTTTCACTCGCCTCATAGTTCTCCTTTAAACCTCAAGCTGTTTTTTTTTTTTTAATCTTCTGGGAGGTCCAATGAAGGATACCCCCAAGTTCTCCAAAGACACACCTGGACAGATCTTACCAAAATCCAGGAGCCAGAAATGCAGGAGCTGACAACAGTGAAGCTTTGATCTCCTCATAACACTTTTAGGGAGAAAAAAGGAGTGACTCTTAGACTATCTGTTTGATCGATGCAATGTGGGACACCAAATGGCAAAACACTATTTAATATACCGCGGCGAACAAGCTTGTAATGATCGCAGTTAAATTGATGGTCCCCCCCCAAAAAAAAGTCAGTGGGTAGTTTAGATTGGACCGACACATTTAATGAGAGAGCTGATGGCATACAAACTTAGGATTTTTGGCCTAGAGTTAGGGTGCTTGTCATATGAAACCCGCTCTTCTAATTTTCAAAAGCTGCCAATAGCTGTATAATAGGAATATAGTCTATAAAACATGGAGTATCTGACTGTAGGCTCTGTGGAGAGCTTGATTAACATGCAAGTCCTGGCACCCTGTGTTTTTGAAAACCAAGTAAGGCATGGTAGCTCCCACATCTCTTAACCTCACATGCTTCCTTTAACATGCATAATACTTGTGTCTTGGGAAAATCATTTGGTTGGTTGTTTTTGAAACACGCTTGGCTCTTGCACTACATAGCAGAAGGTTTCTTTGATCATGAAACAAAATACCTAAGCAGTAGGGGCAGCATCCAATGACACATCTACTAGCATATTGCTGCATGGGCAGAAAAGACTGCTTTACATCATGAACCCCCTATATATCCTCACTGAAAAGGCTTATTTACTCTGCTAAAGAAGAACTTTGGCCTCGCATTTAAAAAAAAAAACTGCTGCAGCACCTATGTAAAAGTGCATCTTCACTAGTCCCCCTGAAAAGTCTCACAAATACCTGTTCAGGTCCTGTTAGTGAAGTCCACCTATTGCATTTCCTGTGATAGGGTGATAACAATGCTGCACTGATCCTGAATTCAGAGCAGAGTAGCCACTCTCATGTAGGCTGTATCTGCTTGCACTACAGTGGGGTGACTAAATGTTGTAGGTGATGTGAACATTGTCATTGCTAACTTACAAGCCTGTAGCTTGTCATTCAACACCTGGCCATGGCTTTCTGGATTGACTGCCCTGCCTCTCTTGTTGAAAAGCCTCCCACTGTGATCTGCAGTGTCTGGGAGGAAGAGTGTGTGAGACACAAATGGATGAGGATTTGGTTCAGCCAGGGGAGGTAAAGGAAGTTTTTTGTTTACTTTAATAGGTGTGTGCATTACATAGTAACTGGGAAACCCTGTAGATAGAGATAATAAATGTAAATATGAAATTAGCCTGTTGCTAGAAAGACAATGACAGGAGATGTCTGCCAGGATTTCAGATATTGCTTTTGGAAGAAAACTACTATTATTTTACTATACTGGTGTTTATCTTTAACAATCTGAGAATGTAAAACAGAGTGAAGTCTTGTCTTGTTTTTTAGATTTGATGGGTCTCCAATTAATTTCACACTTGTTTACTGGAGAAACCTTCTTGCTATGACTGTCACAAAGCGAATTACATGTGTGAGAAAGCCTTGCAAGGAAGCGACAATTTCTGCTTTTATTAAAGAGGAACTTTACCCATATCTTTAAAATGACAACTTCAGAAAAGTTTAGTAATGACAATCTACAAACACATACTTAAGGATATTTGGGGGCTTTTTATACTTTGTATAGCTTATTTCTCTTTTCCTCCCCATTCTTCTCACAGTGGCAAAAAGGGCAGAATAATATATCTCCCTTTACTTCCTAGAACCCTGCCACATGTGACTAGGACATGTGACCATGCACCTCATCTTAGGGGCGGGGGGAAATGCTGTTTCCTGAGATCTTGTGAGATTTTGCAGTTTACAGATGAGATGCACTGTGATGTAACTTTCCCAGGATGCATCTCTTTAGCATGGGTTACATCACCTAAGCTGACCAGGAAGTAGAAAAAAGTAATTGTAGGTAAAAGACAAATATGTTTATTAACTAATGAATGTAAGTTGATTTCATATCAGCATGCAGAGCTGCACACAGATGTGATTTTTAGCGCAAGGGGGTGAAGGTCCACTTTAAGTATTTGTTAGGGATGCATCGATACCGGTATTTTGGTATCGAGTACCGATAATTTTTTTTCTGTACTCGCCGATACCAATTACCGAGTAACGGAAGTCCCATTTAGGAAGCCAGGTGGCGTGTAATGACTCGCCACCTGGCTTCCTGATTAGCCGGGCAGCGTGTAAAGAGTCGCCACCCGGCTTCTCGATTTAACAAGAAAGTCACCCCCGGGGCCTTTCCAGCGAGAACGCGGCCTTCGCCCGGTACCCTGTTGGAGCCATCTGGCCGGCCAATCAGGAAGCCGGGCGCCGTGTAATGACGCGACGCCCTGCTTTCTGATTGGCCGGGAGGCTGGCTCCATGCTCTCTTGTCATGAGATGACGAGGGAGCATGAAGCCAGCTTCCCAGCCAATCAGAAAGCAGGGCGTCGAGTCATTAGACGGCGTCCGGCTTCCTGGTTGGACGGCTCCGGCTGGGTACCGGACCAAGGCCGCATTCTCACTGGAGAGGCTCCGGGGGTGACAGGCTGCACATATTAAGGTAAGGTAACCTTACCCCACGAGGCCAGCTTCCTGATTGGCCAGCTTTCCGACCAATCAGGAAGCCAGGCAGCGCGTCATTACACGCTGCCCGGCTTCCTGATTGGCCAGGAAGTCGGCTCGATGCTCTCTCACCACAAGTGACGAGAGAGCATGGAGCCGCTTCCCGGTCAATCACGAAACCGGGCAGCGTGTGATGACGCGCTGCCCGGTTTACTGATACCGGAAGTACTCGTGCTAGGCATCGGAGCATTTGGGCGAGTACGAGTACTTGCCCAAATACTCGGAATCGGCACCGATATCGATACTAGTATCGGTGCATCCCTAGTATTTGTATATACTGACTGTTTCTTTTTACCCTGTGGTATTTGGTATACGCTCATTTATGTCTTCTCTTTTGTTCAACAGGCAGTTCTTGTGGAGTTTTCGTCTACCAGGCGAAGCCCAGAAAATCGACCGCATGATGGAGGCATTTGCTCAGAGATATTGCATGTGCAATCCAGGGGTGTTCCAGTCTACAGGTGTTCATTTAAATCATTGCGTTTTAATCTGTTTTGTCGGTATATAATATTGATGTGTTTTTATAAGCTCCTTTACACCAGCATGCAGCCTTTACTTAATCTTTAATGATGTTTCTTCTCTTCATACACAGATACATGTTATGTCTTGTCCTTTGCGGTCATAATGCTGAACACTAGTCTTCACAATCCCAATGTACGTGACAAGCCCGGTTTTGAACGGTTCATCTCTATGAACAGGGGAATTAATGATGGAGGTGACCTACCTGAGGAGCTTCTACGGGTAAAGAAAAAACGTTTTTTGTTTTTTTTTCCGGTCTACTTTATTTGGAATCTGTATTTCTCCCCCGTTCATTGAAGGACACGGCAACAGATCGTAGATCCTGTATGGTAGGGTATATCGCCACCTGCAGGAGAAAGGCGCTAGGCACATAACAAAAGACAAAGACAGCCTAGGGGTGGCCCCTGCTGGTGGCCCAACCCCCCACCTGCAGACAAGTCTTCAGTTTTTTGCCTAGAGTCAGGAGTAAGGAGCTAAAAAAAATTCTCTGGAAATGTTTTCATTTTCCTCCTTTTGTTAGCTGTTTTCTTCAAGCAAGTGTCGCCAGGGCGACATGCTGGATGAATATAGATCCTTGGAGTCTCCCCTGCGCGACCGACAAGCGCGCATGCAGTCCCGCCACGGTGGGTCGTCTGCGACGATGGTTCTTTTCTACGCCTGTGGGTCTCTTGGCCCGGTGGGGTGCACATGACTGGGGGTTTCGACCTGCCAGTCACAGTACCCCACGCAGGCCGGCGGCGCTGCGACTATGGTCGGGGGTGTTTTTCCGCCCAGTTCCCTGCACGCCTGGCTGCCATGTGCGTTCCCAGGAGTCGTTGCCCCTCTGGATAGCGGTGGTTTGCGGTCCGGCGGTTTCCCCCCTGGATGCGGTATGTCTGTGAGGGTCTGTCTGTGGCTGTGCGTTGGGTCTCATGGAGGCTACCTGTCGACGGTCATAAGTACGCTTTGTCGGGGCGGGGTGTTATGCTGGGGACCGAGGTTCCCTCACGTGCCTCAGCCCCCCTCCCTTCACCTCCATGCTGAGCAGCCTGTCAAGGCTGGTGTCCCTAGTCTCTCAGTGTTGGCAGACCTGGCCTGGGGACACGGATGGTCCTGGAGGTGTGCCTGGGAGCGGCCGCTGCATGGGTTGCTGTTGTCCGTTCGTGGAGGCCGACCATCGAGGCCCCGGCTTCTATTGCGGCTTAGCTGGCTGCTGCGGACGCATGTTCGTTCCGTTTTTGGGGCGGCCGAAAATCGAGGCCCCGGCTTCTATTGTGGCCTAGCTGGCTGCCAGGGCCGCATGTTACTTCTGTTTTCAGTGCCCGTTCGGGGGCCTAGTCCGCATGCCGCGGCCGCCATCTTAGTTGAGGGTGGCTTGCCCTTTCCGCGTGACGTCAGTCTGTCTGGGATTTCCCTTCCCGGGGGTCGTTTGGCACCATCTTAGATGAGCTTATTTACGGATTTGGCGGGGGGGCATGTGTACCCTTTTTTACCTCGGCCGCGGAAGGAGGAACTTCGTTGGCAGCCTGATCCCACCTTCTGCCGAACGTTCCTGGCAGCTTAGGCCTGCCAAGCCCCCGTCCGTATGAAGACCTGGCTCCACCTCTGGACTCCAAGGTGGGGGGGCTTCTTCGACTCTTTGCGGATTTTTGGTTGGCTCACGTTTCCGACACTTGGGTCCAGGAGCTGGTTTCTTCGGGCTACAAGATCGAATTTCTGGCCCGCTCCGGGAACAGGTTTTTCCCGTCCAACACACGGCTTTCCCCTCCGCGCTTGGTGGACCTCTTGTCCCAGGGGGTGATCGTATGGTCCCTACACCCGGACATTTTTGATCAGCTTTGTCTTCGTTGGGGGTCGCCGGATGTGGTCCTTCTGGCACCTCGACTCAACCGGAAGGTAGAGAGGTCGTAGCCCGGGCTCTGGATTCCTGGGCGGAGGCAGTGAATGCCCTGGTGGCTCCCTGGATTAAGGTCTGATTTATGCCTTTCCTCCACTCTACCTGTTGCCTCAGCTTCTGTGACGGATCGCGGCTGAACATGTCACCGTCATCCTCGTGGCCCCAGTTTAGCCTCAGAGAGCGTGGTACGCGGACGTGGTTCAGATGGTGGTGGACGCCCCGTGGCGGCTGCCTCTGTGTCCGGATCTTCTGTCCCAGGGACCTGTGCTCCATCCTTCTTTATAGTCGCTGGCTTTGACGGCATGGCAGTTGAGAGCCGGGTCCTGAAGGACCGGGGGTTGTCCGATGGGGTCATTTCCGCGATGCTCAGGGCGTGCAAAGCGGTTTCTAGGCACATATACCATCGCACTTGTAGGGCCTATTTTGCCTGGTGTGAAGGCTGTGGCTCTGTCTCTGCGTTTGTTCTCGATTCTTGCTTTTTTGCAGAGCGAGGTTGCTCAAGGGTTGGCCTTGAGCACGGTGAAGGGCCAAATTTTATGCATTAACTGTGCTTTTCCAAGGGCCCTCGGCGTCTAACGCCTTAGTTCGCACTTTTGTTCAGGGGGTTACGCGTATTGCTCCTCCTGTCCGCTCGCCTTTGGCGCAGTGGGATCTGAATCTGGTGCTTTCGGTGTTGCAGGAATCTCCTTTTGAGCCTATCCGGGAGATTCCACTTCTGTCCTTGTCACAAAAAGTAACCTTTTTTGGTTGCCATCACTTCCGTTCGACGGGTGTCTTGAGTTGGCTGCCTTGTCCTGCAAGTCACCGTTGCTGGTTCTTCATAGGGAGAAGGCGGTTCTCCGTCCTTGGCCGGCCTTCCTGCCTAAGGTTGTGTCGGCGTTCCATCTAAATGAGGACATGGCCTTGCTTTCTCTGCCCGAAACCAGTACATAGGAAGGAGAGGGCGCTGCACTGTTTGGATGTGGTTCGCGCTCTTCCTGTTTGGAAGCTACGGCTTCTTTCCGTGAGTCAGATTCCTTGTTCGTGCTCACGGAGGGCCCTCGTAAGGGCCGCATCGGCGGCTACAGTTTCTTGGTGGGTTCATAACGTTGTTGTTCAGGTGTACGCCGTTAAGGGGCGAGGGCCTCCCTTTCCTGTCACTGCCCATTCTACTAAGGCTGCCGGGGCATCTTGGACCTTCCACCTTTGTTTCTCAGGTTTGTAAGGCCGCTACTTGGTCTTCCATTCACACCTTTTGTCAAGTGTTACATGGTGGATGTTTTGGCATCGGCGGATGCTGGTTTGGGGCGCAAAGTGTTGCAGGGGTGGGGTCTTTTGGGAATTTTGGTTGTTTTGCCCATCCCTCAGTGTGTTACTGCTTGGTGACGTCCCTACCATACAGGATCTATGATCTGTTGCCCTGTGTCCTTCAATAAACTGGAGAGAAAATAGGATTTTTGTACTCACTGTAAAATCCTTTTCTTCTCCGTTCATTGAAGGACACATGTGCCGCCCTCTATATTGGGTGTGTACTCATAACTGCTTGTTACTTACTGGAGACTTGTCAGCTGGTGGGCGGTTGGGCCACCAGCAGGGGCTGCCCCTAGGCCGTCTTTGTCTTTTTTGTTATGTGCCTAGCGTCCTTCTCCTGCAGGTGGCGATATACCTTACCCTGTTTATTCTGTTTGGGTCTGAGCACAGTTTTTTTTTGTTTTTGTTTTTTTCTTTTTTGTGGTGCAAGGGAGCAACTCCCAAACATACCTACTCCAGGTTCCTTGCCGTCTCTCACAAACAGTCTATACCAGGGGCAAGCAATATCGGCACTTCTGCTGTTTTGGAACTACAAGTCCCATGAGGCTTTGCAAGACTCTGACACACATGGTCATGACGCCCAGAAGTAGAGGCATGATGGGATTTGTTTTTTCGTCACAGCTGGAGTGCCAAGGTTTCCTGTCCCTGGCCACAAATTTGATTCAAAACTGCCTTGGAAGTTTGAATGTTGGTGGTAAAGAAGGCAGAGAGAGTGAGGAATCTAAACTGCAGAGGCTTCAGGCAGAACACTCCCAAGTGTCATAATGCTCTTTGGCTTCTAGCTGCAAGGAATAAAAGGGAATTTAAAGTAAATTTGAGCATCTTCTTGATTTTTAGCACATTTGCAGTGTTTGCTGGATAATACTAGTCTCCTGCACTAGTAGTCCACTAATTTTGTTTTTGTTTTTTTTTCTTCTTGGTATTGGCCTGTAAGATGTCTTCTTCTGTGTTATAGAACCTCTATGACAGTATAAGGAATGAGCCATTTAAGATCCCAGAAGACGATGGGAATGACCTCACACACACTTTCTTTAATCCTGATAGAGAAGGCTGGCTCCTCAAACTCGGTAAGTCACGCTGCCATGGTTTTGGGGATGGATAGACATTATCTAGCCTTGCATTCTTCTGTTTTCAGCTTTCTTTTCTTGCAATCCCACCATGTCACTCTGGAGCCATGTATGATTCTGCCCAGTTGAGTCCTACAAGTAAAAATATAACCCAGCAAAACGTTTACTGCAGTGCCATGCTCAATTGGCATTATCCTACTGATGGACTACAGAATCCATTTATCTTTTAAATGTTTGTTTTGTAAGGAGAATGCCTCCAATATATAACAATGGTTTTGAATGCTTTCTTCCCTTGGAGACAAAGTTAATCTGCCCTGTGTTCTGAAATGTGGTTCCTCGATCATATTGTTAACTGCCTGATTTTTTCATTGATATTTTCTTCCTGCACCTGTGAATTCAGTCTGTGATCTGCAAATGCAGAGCAGAAAAAAAATCACAGCTTTGCTAAGGTGAGAAAGACCTCTTCGTTTACCTCTAATGTAATTATCTCACCGGAATTAGTCTGAGTGGACCTGGAGCTTTTTGTCTTACAATTCTAGATGTCAGACTGTAGGGAGCAGCAGTATGTGAGATTAGGAATACCTCACCTAGTCACATGATTTAGCAGTTTGTGGAAGTTTCCATTTTCTAATTGGTAAGAACCTCTTAAACATGTCCCTTTTTTTTTTATAGTGAAATTAAATATTCAGTTAGCTGTACATCTACATACCCACCCGATAATTGTAAGAACCTGAATTGTTAAGGCACCTTTCACACGGGCTGATCAGGAGGAGATCCATGCAAAGATCCCGTCCTGATCAGAGCAGTACGAAGCGGAGGTCAACGCTGTGACATCCGTGTCTGTACAGTCTTTTTCCTCCATCTTGCGATGGAGAAAAAAACTGCAGTTACCGGACCCCATGTCTGTCTATGGGGAGTCGGATGTAAACGACGTGTGTATCCCCAATCCGGCACGATCCGGTCCGGTGAAATGGACCTGGGCGGAGTCAGGTGTGACTAGATGCTCGTCCTTTTACACACGGCTGCCCATAGACTTAGATTGGGCATGTGATCGGGTCCGCCAGCAAAACTGACAGGTGGACCCAAATGGCCCATGTGAAAGGGGCCTAAATCTTAACTTTGTGTCACCTGCATGTCAGTTATGTCAGTTGGGATATGATGGGTGTGATGTTCAGAGGTAGCTATAGAGCAGATTTGGGTGTAAACAAGCCCTGAGGTATGTTGCACAGAAACGCTAATTGGGAGTGTTGCAGGAATGTTAAACTCCCAACAGGGCAAATTGGTGTGCTGCTGATTTGAAATCTCATTTGCACGCTAATAGAATATCTGCTAATTTAACAAAACCTCCACTTTTGTAGCAAAGGACAAAGGAAAGACAGGTTTCCCTCCACATTTTGTACATGGCTCCTACCATATTTTGCCCTACCGATTTTCTCTTATTTTAGTACTGAATGCACTAAAAGTGCACTGTGCCTAGTGGATGTGTATGAACCTTGATTTCCACCTTTTGTTTATGTGACTTATTTTTCCTTTTTTCTCTTTATCCTCACTTGCCTGCCTGCCCTCCCTATCTTGTGTGCACCTCCTTTCTTTCTTTTCCATGACTTTCTGTTTTTCATACTTTGTGTGCTCGGCCGCTGATGACATTTGCTCTTCCGTCTGCTCACAATAATTGCTCAGGAGGTAGGTGGAGATTGTGTTACACTCGATCCTCATCCTAGTTTTTATGTAATAACGCAGTGCACATTTTGTCAGTGATCAGTGGATTGCAATCACTTGTCAAGGTTTTATGTTTCATTTTGGGATCCATCATTTTAACTATGTTTGCTGGAAAATAGTTTTTCCATATCTGTGTAATTGCATAGTAGCCTGGGGTTATGTTGCTGCCCAGCTAGACATGCAGTCAGTCCTTGATGTGTGTGAAAAGCTTTACTGGGGGTCTTAGGATAGGTAATTTAGTCATGAACACATTGCATGTTACTATTTCAGAACAAAGTGCAAAGTTTTAATCTAAAATTATTTACATATTGCCCTACAAATAAAGAGATCCTGCTGGGGTTAAAAACAATAATCCAAATATAGGTGCCCAGCAAAAGAGCTCCTATAATCACATCTCTGGAGACCTGTGTCCCCTACCTTCCCTTTGTTCCAGCACTTCGACCCCTGTCAGTCCCTAACCCTCTTTGGCATTTGGCACCTCTGGGAATGTCGGGTGCCTGTGTCCCCTGCCATGTGCCGTAGTTTTATCCTCTGACCCCCTACACTGCAGTCCTGTAGGGACATAGGGGTCGGAAGAAGAAACCACGGCATGAAGTGGGGCATAAAGGCATCTGACTGTGTCAAATGCCAAAGAGACTAACTGAGGCTGCAGTGCTGAAACCAAGAAGGTAGGAGATGCGGGCTGCCATAGAGGAAGTATGAGTTCTTCTCTTGCTGGCCCCCCATATATTTTGATTTTTTTTACCCTTACAGGATCACTTTTATGTGTTTTATGGGGATTTCAAAGAGCCATTATGCACAAATTGAAATCTGATTACATGAAAGGGTCCAAATCTTCATAAATATGTGCAACAATTTCGGACTATAATAAAAACTGAATAGGTCTGGAATAGTTGGGTCATAAAGGGGAGCAAATTTCCTCTTATCCAGTTGAAGGGCACTGCAATCTGATTTTTTAAAAATTTTATATGACTGGGCTTGAGTACATGATATTGGGGGAATTTATGAAAACTGGAGCAGACAAAATCTGGAGCAGTTGTACATGGCAACCAATCCGCTTCTCTCTCTTGCATTTTCAAATCTTAACTGAAGAGAGAAGCTGGTTGCCATGGGCAACTGCTCCAGATTTTGTCTGCTCCAGGTTTGATAAATTCCCTTCAATGAGTTCTCAAGTTCTGTACATGGCTATTTTGTGAATGGCATAGTAACTAACTTATAGATGTATTTATTTCCTGTCATTATTGCTTTTTGGCCCTTCAAATATTTTTTATTAACGTGGACCTTCCCTTAAATTTCACACTTACCATAAATCTGTAGAGCACTTATGAGAATTACTAGATCACATTCTAATTTTGAGTAAGATGAATATAACATTTTCTGTTCCTGAACTCCCTCATGTGATCTAAAGCTTAGACAACCTTGATCATAGTCCCAGGCTACTATGAGTATTGTGGGTGTTTCACATCACTAGCGAGTGCTTACTGTTTATTGGTATTCATCTATCGGAACCTCTCCTGGCCTGATAGTCTAATGGCACAGGATTGGGTTTAGCGTTGATTTGACCAGAAGTTGAGATAGTGTGCACAGTCTGGTGCTCCTCAAGCCCATAGACGTTGATTTGATGATTGAATCAGCTACCATCCTTAATACAAGGTGCTATCACTTCATTATTTCTGTTTCTCTTCAGGCCATGCCAGGTTCATTGTAATTTGTAAGCTGTTTCCTTTCCTACACTAGTATTTTTAGGTGAAGGTCCATCTCCAACTATTAATAAATTCCAACTGCTAGTTTTCTTTTGCATCATAAGCATCTAGTTTTAATGATGGATCCCTTTTCTGCCGGTAGTAATGTTTGCTTTGTTAGTGCACAGCCTTTGCTTTATTGCAAAATGACTAATTACATAAATCAGTACCATCATTCTAGACTGTGATTGGATAAGTAGTTCATCTTTTTGTATGTATATAACATTTTACTGACGTGAAGGAAGGTCAGTAACAGTCTATTCCAATTTGTACTCATCAGTCCATTTAGTAAACTGACAAGTCACATTTTGTTTTGGGTCGGGTCACCACACATGGTGTTTTCATATGTGGATATTCATCTTGTAAGTTGCAAGGGGTAAAGCATAGGGTGTTTTTAGACCACAGCACATCTTGCATCTCTGTAAATAACTGTGACCCATCCTATCACCCCTTCCTACATTTCCTGTTGTCTAACAGGTGGGCGCGTGAAAACATGGAAACGGCGCTGGTTCATCTTGACTGACAACTGCTTGTACTATTTTGAATATACTACGGTAAGAGCCTTGTATTGTTTCAAAATGTTGTTTTTCATTGATAAAGGGTTTTATAATATAATTGTATGGTTGAAGAAAACCTGCCATGCGATAAACAAAAAGGCTACCCTTACCTGACTGTCATGTTGAACCTTTGGGCTTCTACAGTTTGAGTCACTGACCTGAATTAAATATGCAGATCAAGACTTCATAATTTTTGTCTTTCTTTATTTGCATAGTTGACTGGAACAGTGACTCGGAAAGTCAATGGGTCAGTATGGCAGCCAGGCTGATGGTATTGCCCTGTGTGGGCAAAGCTCAGGTTTACTAGTGTTGTGTTTTTAGTCTCTTGATCCTGTTATTCAGTGTTATATAGTTTTAGAACATCTCATTTATCCCACAATTCCAGAGTTGGCAGCCATTTGTCGCCTGTGGGTGAGGTGGTCCAGTTTAAGCCATCCCCAAAAAAGCTCACACCATGTGTACCTTTTTAGTACTCTGGCATTCAGCAAGGAGCTCATCCCTTCTCCATTGAGGGAGTCTAGGGCATGATGGAAACCCCACATCAGGGATGGCCTTCCCTTTTTCCATACTTCTTTGGCTCTCAGCAGTCCCCTTCTCTATGGTTGTGGGTTTGGGTTTTGAGCAGACTTGTAGTCCGGTCTCTGCTGATCAGGTAGTCCTTAGTGTAATCCTCCAGCCTTTTAAGGCAACTGGGGTAGTGTAGTCTTCCCATTACTAGGCCATTCCACACCCTGGAGTAACTTCATCCCCAGGCAACCTTCTGATCCCCTTGGTTCCTCATGGTAGGGTACCCTACCTTGACTGAGTCTTCTTTATGCTCTATTGGACACAAACTAGGTCATGAAATGATGGGGAGAGTTGTCTCCATTTCATCCATTCAGATACAGGTGTTGGTCTTTCAGGCTGGCTTCTGGGCTGCAGATGGCCCTCCATCCTCCTAGTGAGGCCTATACACAGACCCCAGTACATTTTCATAAAGTCCATTTCTTGAAGTCCATTGAGGGACATGTCCTGCCCCCTGTGTTTTTGTTCTTGCCTTTTTAATACTGCTTTTCCACAAAACTTAGCTAAGCTAGATATAGGATGGGTTATACTGGGGGCTGGCTTGCTATTTGTTTTGCTAGTGTCAAATCCTTCTGTATTGGCAGTAACCCAACTCTATCTGTATTGCTGTGCCCTTCAATGGACTCCAAGAAAAGGAATTTACAGCAAGTAGAAACATTACATTTTTTTAATTTTTTTTTCTAACTCTCTGCTAGCTCCTGTTTTTCCAGTTGATATTACTGTATTGAACATGATAATAAAATACCTTCAAGTGAGCTTAATAGAATTAAGTAGGCATCGTTGTGCTCACGGTACACTGTTTGATTTTATAATGTTTTATAGTATACTACTGAGTGAGACTAACGGTGAACTGAACATTACTATATACAGGTGAAACTCGAATAATTAGAATATTGTGCAAAAGTTAATTTATTTCACTAATGCAACTTAAAAGGTGAAACTAATATATGAGATAGACTCATTACATGCAAAGCAAGATAGTTCAAGCCGTGATTTGTCATGATTGTGGATAAATGAACTTTTGCATGATATTCTAATTAGTCGAGTTTCCCCTGTAAAGTGCTCTCTACACAGCCAAAGCCATGTACCACAAACCTATCTGCATACAAATATTTGAACAGAAAGGTGCTAGAGAAGTCAGTTGGTACAAGTCCAGACAAAACCCAGAATTAATGTGTATGCTATGTACATTTTTAACTGTGTGTGTGTGTGTGTGTGTGTGTATGTGTGTGCTGTAATTTGGTGCACAACATGGAAGAAAATGCCACAAGTAATTCATCACAAAGTTGTGGACTCCTTTGTGTGATGTGATGCTTGCTCTGTATGCTGTGGGCATATAATAGCTAATGCATGGACTATAGTTCAATTTGGCTATGGATCCTTTCTCTTCCACAGCTTGCAGATCTGAGCTCATGTGCTTACTATGTGCTTACTATTACCATGTCACTACAGTGCAAGTCCCTATATAAAGCTGAACGTGAGGCAAATACATTGTTGAGAATAATAACTGTACTGTTAATCTGGTAATGGATTTGTAATGTATTTATTACAGGTATTTATATAGCAGCGCTTTACATAGCGCACATTCACATCAGTCCTGCCCTCAAGGAGCTTACAATCTAATCTCACATGTATACATACAAGGGCCAATTTAGACAGGGGCCAATTAACCTACCAGGATGTCTCTGGAGTGTGGGAGGAAACCAGAATACCCTGTGGAAACCCACGCAAGCACAGGAAGAACATGCAAACTCCTTACACATAGTGTCCTGACCCAGGATTTGAACTGGGGACCCCCAGTGCCTCAAGGCGGACATGCTAACCACTAAGCCACTATGCTGTTTAGCTGTGCTTTTGAACCAGACATCCATGCATGAGAGGACAGTCTGTAACCACCACTGCAACTTTCAGAACTACAGTAGGGCCCAGACACATGACCATCTTGCTTATTGGGCAATAAAGAAGCAGTGCAATGCTGCAAAGCCTTATTGACTGTTAGTGGAGGTGTTCCCACTCCCTACCCGATACAGCAGGCTGTCTGATCCTTGAATTTGCTTTAGCTGCATTTATTCATATTTTAATACATAACTTGCCTGAAGTTCAGCTTTAATAACTTTCTAACAAATATTATCTAATATGTTCACTTGGTTCATGGTTATTTTTATTGTGTTTTTGGGTTTCTTCTTAAATAAGGATTGTGTATTTTAAAATGTTTCCCTTCTCTAACAATCCTTTTTGTAACAAGTATTTTACTCCTCTGCAGGATAAGGAGCCACGAGGGATCATACCTCTTGAGAATCTCAGTATCCGAGAAGTTGAGGATCCCAGGAAACCGGTAAAACTGATTTTTATTTAAGATGCTTGGATGCTTGACATGAAGACATTTCCCTAATGTTATAATGTCATGCATTCTAAGTTGCTGATCATATTGTATCCATCACACAGAACTGCTTTGAGCTGTACATACCCAACAACAAAGGCCAATTGATCAAAGCTTGCAAAACCGAGGCTGATGGGAGAGTGGTGGAGGGCAACCATAATGTCTACAGAATTTCAGCACCAACCCCAGAAGAGAAAGAAGAGTGGATCAAATCTATAAAGTAAGAAATCCTGTACTGCCACCTTGTGGTATTCGCTAAATGTACAGTACTGGAACAATTATGTCTGCCTGGCTGTCTCTTGTGCAATAGAAGAAGTCTGCTCATTATTATTATACAGGATTTATATAGTGCCAACAGTTTGCGCAGCGCTTTACAATATAAGGCAGACATTACAATCACAATAAAATTCAAGACAAGATGGTAAGGAGGGCCCTGCCCCTGAAGGCTTACAATATAAAAGCTAATTTGGTTTGCAGCCCCTCCTAGGGTGTAACGGCAGGGGTTGCAGAGGGTGCTCGTCCCTGATGACACAAGCTTTATAACACCTTCCCTCTATTTACTTTCTATCTGCTTTTTTTCCTCGCAGAATAAAAATGCAAAAAAAAAGCCATATTGCTTTTCATGACAAATTTGCAGCTTAAAGGAGAACTATGACATGAGTGATTTCCACTCACCTCATAGTTCTAAGCCGACCTGTGACAATGAGACTGTCACAGGTCGGCTCAGTAGATCGGGAGGTGAGTGTACACATACCGGGTTCCCTCACCTCATCGATCCTGTCACGGCTCTCTGCCGTGACAGGGGGAGGGGCTGGATTCCCCTCTCCCCGCTCCGATCTGCCAGCGCTGACTGGCGGAACGGACGGGGGAGGGGGCTGGTACAGCTGGCTCTGCCTCTAGATAGGCAGAGCCAGCTGTCACTCACGCAGCTGGGCGGATCCCGTCATCTAAGTCGGGATCCGCTCCAGGTGCGGCGTCTCAGTATACCGCGAGCTGTAGCTCGCGGTATACTTAGCTTAGGGTAACGGGAGGACGCTAGTTGGTGTCCTCCCGTTACCCCAAGGAGAACTATGGAGGAAAACACTGACCCCATAGTTCTCCTTTTAAGGCTGATTAATGGCATTCTAGAAATGAGCAATATGTGTTCAAATTTTCAATCCATGCCTTTATGGTCTTAATTTGTGCCTCTGGAGTCATGCCATTTTCTCAAGACCCATCTATTTATAGTAGTTAGGTTTCCTTTAAGTTATTTCTATCATCAAAGAAACATGGGTACTGACATCTGCTTCTGAAAATGCTAGTTATCTGCCTGTCATGCTGACCCTCTTGCTTCAGTACTTTGTGACACTGACCTAGGACAAGTATGATGAGCAGTTCAGACTTTAGCAGACTTTCTTGAGTGATCTACAGTGATTCAGAAAGTATTGAAGCCATAGATAGCCAGGCAACCAGCATTCTCAGAAGGTCACCAGTTGCAGCCCCCATGTTTGTCTCGTAAAAGGGTTACTTTAATAAACACAGAGTAATTCTACTCAAAAGTTGTTTTTTTTCATTATAAGTGGAGTCTAGTAGGCTGTGTCAGCCCCTGGCTTCCTTTTTATATCTCAAATATTCCCACAGTGAGATGACTGAGTTTCTGAGTTTTTCGATGTTCACATCCATCTTTGAGCGTTCAAAGCCCCCTGTTGCATTTATCATGCATATATTTTGTGTTTTCTTCTACTAGTGCTGTGTGGGCAAATTGAATCCAGCACTTTGTTTGTTTAGAGTGTTGTGTGATCATTCTTGCACTTAAAAGCCACGTTTTATATACTGGAATACCTTTTTAAGCCACTTCTGAAGTTATTTGTTATACCTGCATTTCACCAAGTAATCTAAAAAGCACATAGAATAGTATCTAACAAGTTGTTATAACCTGATAGATTCTGCATCTTTTCATCATCTTCTTTGTTTAGAGCGGCCGTGAGCGTGGATCCCTTCTATGAAATGCTGGCTGCCAGGAAAAAACGGATCTCAGTGAAGAAAAAGCAACAGATGCAGCAGCAGGAGCAAGAACAGTCTTAAATGGCATACTTGACAGTGGAGCAGTTTTGGCTCTTGTGGCCTCCAGCCACTTCTGGGCACTCCTTGTGAAAGATCAGTGAAGAGCTTGGTATTCCATTGACTGCATAATGCAAAAACCAGGAGGGCTGATGCCATTGGATGAGGTATCTTTGTGGCTGGAAGTGATGCAACCTTCAAGATTTAACAGTTCGGGTCTCTGTTCATCAGTGGTAGCCACAGAGTTTTGTGGTCTTGGAACTTCTGCCATTTCTTCCTGTGTAAAATATTTTGGTTAACTAGAACTCTAAGCCACGTTGGCAAGTAGGTTTTGTGAAAACAAATAATAATCTGCATGTAAGAGCAATACAACCTAAGCATTTCAACAGCACAAAATTTCAAGGACTGGAGCTCCATACTTTGTAAACAATATTCTGTTCTTCCCAAAAAAGACATTGTAACTGTCATCACCCATCATTGATGGTGCTGAAAGGTTCTGAAGTACTGTTGTTACCCTGCCCTACAATATCTTTTCTTTAGTAACACAGAAACTGCTTGTATTAATACATAAAATCCAGGTGCCGAGGTCACTGAACAATTGCTGAAGAACTCTGCTTAAAACAAACCGGGGTGCTTTATGTGCGAGAGGGTTCAGTGCTCTAGCTTGGGGTCCAATCTTTTTAAAGGCTAGACATCATGCATCCCAATCCTACTAATTCTCTTCCTTGCTGCCATTGACATTTTATGCGTTCAGGAAACCTATACTGAGGGGAATACATAGGCTGAATTTCTGCCCTACATCTGAAAATACTGGCTGTGTTTAAGGTCAATAGTTTGTGTCTCTGCCCTGGAACTAGCATCCAGCTTGTGAATTGAGAGTGAGATTTAAGCGATACAGCCGAGCAACAAGCATCATCCGAACAAGAGGTCAGCAGGGGCTAGAGATGTAAACAGGACTGGGCCCAGGGGGTATAAGTCTTTCATTGGTCAGAGGCAGGGTTACTGCTACACAATACCAACTCCACAACTCTACAGCTGTGATAAGAAGTTAACTGCCACTATAATTTAAGTGCAGCACTTTTCTTTTTGTTTTAATAAACCTACAGTGCTTTTTGATCTAGGTGCACCTCCATCTCCTTGGCTTTTTTTAGGTCAGCAATGGCAGCCTACATATTTCTTTCAGTATAGGCTCCTTTTAAAGTATGTATAGATATTGGATCGCACTGTGAAGGTGGTATGAAGTGATGGACAAGTTTCAGCACTCTGGAGTGCTAATAAAGCTCTGCCTGTCAGAGCAGCCCATTGTTTGACTGATAGGAAGGGTTTGGAAGGGTTCTCGGGCACCGATAACTGCAGTAGTTTTGGGTTTTATTCCTCTATACATGTATAGTGTGTAGAGGATAATTGAACCTAGATAGGTTCTGTGCAGCATTTTTCTTAAAAGTGGGTCTAAAGATTTGCTCACAGATGTCATTATTATTGCCATAATTACCTCACACTTTCCACAAAATATGGCTGAGCTTAGTGACATTTTCATGTAGTTCATCTGAAATCCTCTGTGTACATTTGGGTGCACAGCCAGATCAGGGTTGGTTTCTGTACACCCATGGAGATGTAACAACTCCATACTAGATAAGAGTACCACTGGCCACACATGGGCTGTTAGACCTCTGCCCGAATTAATTCTATATGTGTGTTGGGATATTTAAAATGTACCACCTTTAACACACAAGACAGACATCATCTGATTCAATGAGAACAATCATTGTGGTCAAATAGAACACAATGCATTGCCAGATATGACCAGCCTCTGATCTGCACGGATTCTCTTCTGCTTCTAAAATCTGTGATATTTGAATGTCACAGAGACCCTTTTAATTTAATCGCTGACCAAATCCCAATAACGGCATGTTGCGATTTGCATTTTCACCACTTCCCATCTCCTTACTTGTGTCTTTGGGACAAGAATTGAAGGGAAATCTTCACAGTGGGAACCAGGCAGCAGTCACTGACAGGATTTTAACCATTCCCACTCTGCTCAATGGTTTAAAAAAAGGTTTGGCTTTAGACACACTTTAATTGTAAACATATGTACTAAAGTGATTCTAAGCTCAATATCTCTCTCAAATTGGCAGCAAGATCTCTGCACTTACCTGGTCTTTAAGCGAGGTCTCTCAGCTGGATCTTCCATTTGCTTTTCACTTAAGTGCAAATCCATTGCTTGAGGTGGCAGATGTTTGTCAGGAGCTCCATCGGAAAGTTACTACTCATAGAGAGGGTAGTAACGCCACTGGAGAGTCCTGCTAGAGATATAAGAGGGTGCAACATACTGGCATTCACCAAAATCTGAATGCTTGGTTTGGCTTCCACTTTGATATGAAAAATATCACTAAATCCATCCTAGAAACCCTTTCAATTTCTGGTGCAAATTAAAGGGTTAAAGGGTAAGTCAGCTTAAAGCGGGCCTTTACACTGAAAAATCAAAATCTACCAATGTATCCCTCTATTTATGATGATTAATAATCATTTTAATCATGTCAGGTGCACACTGGGATTACTCGTCACTCAAATTAGATCTTGTTCAAGAAGACAGAAAATGGCCGTGAAATCTCACGAGATCTCGCAGTCATGTTTTTAGTTATTTTTCTTTCACTTGTCACGTTATACGAGATGCGCAAGAGTAGCGGCGCATCGTCAGAAGAGGGTGTAGCTGAGGAACCTAGTCTCGATGACAGCAAACGAAATCCAGGTAAGAGGAGCATTTGCCCTCTTCAAAAATGGCCACCCTCTACTTTACAGGAATGGAATTTAAACTTCCAAAAGTATCTATAAATGAAAAAAACAGCGTTGTAAGTTTGTTTATTTGGATAATTGTACACTAATGCATATGTGAATGTTTCTTTAGGAACTTCATATTGGCATGTAAAGGTCCGCTTTAAAAGATTTGCACACATGCTGGTGGGTTGACTTGCTCCCTGACTTCATATGTGTCTGGTTAGATTCCATCACCAGAGTGTTTGGAGGTGCAGCTCCAACTATGTCACCTCAAGAGGAATATGAGTTTTCCTGCAACCTGAAAAGACTGAGACTCTTCATAATTGCCTTGGATGTTGTTTACTCATGTGCTGTGATCTCCTTGACTAGAGACATTTAAAAGCCAGAAACAATTATTTGTGGGGGTTACTAATGGGGTCTAATTTACTGAATTGTGAGGTGTAGAGAAGTGCCACTATGTGCATTTAAAACATCAGTCATGTGCAGGGGAATTTTGAAAAAGTAGATTTTCTTCTTCACAAGATTGGTTGGTTAAAATGAACAGAGTTCACTTCACTTACCTTAGTAAATCAGCCCCTTGTCTGATGGTTCTAACAGCGTTTTCCATAAACACATGCATTGTTCCTGTACAAGCCGGCATTTCTAGGTTGAATAAATAAGTATCCCAGCAATCCATTATTCCCTAATTACATTATTTCCTAATTTACAGGCTAAAGTAGCTGAAATGTTGGTTCAGCTCCCAAAATGGATTTACCGGGTATATTGTGCATAGACAACAGGTGCATTTTAATTTTTTATTGGCTTTTAAATAGAAATTTCCCTTTTTATAATATCAAGCCCTCCATGTAAAAAAACAGAAACCTCTATCCCACAGCTGCTAGTTTACAAGGATCAGGACATTGAATTGCAGATTTAATTTTCAGTGCCACCTGACATCTGACCAATCTGACATAATGGTGATCTGTATACATATCTGTATCTGAAAGTTGTGCCTTTAGACTTCCCAGTAATGTAGACCCTAGTGCGATAAGGGCTTTTTATGGGGTTGTGTGGTGGGGGGTTCTGTGCTGCAACATGGAGGCTGTGTTGCAAATCCTCCATTTTTATAGAAGCTACTTTCCTCCTGTATGACTAATCAGACCTTCGGAAGATCGCCTTTTTTGCGCACATCATACACCTAATCAAGAAAATTAGGAAATTGGCTAAAATGTTTCCACCCATTGAGGATTTAAGAGTTCTGTTAAGACCATCTTCACTCCATACACTGGGGTTTTTGCACTACTGTATCTGAAACTTTTGTATTGTACAGGAATTTGCCTCCATGCCCGTGTATTCATAGGCATAGTGACCCGCTGTATTCTTGCTGTACTGCAGACAAGGTGTCACCTTGGTGATTTTTTTTGTAAGAATAGAAAACTAAGTAATGTACAGTTATGTTTAATAAGGCACATTTGTAACCTATGGCAACCAATAAAAAGAATTGTCCTAATATCCTTTTAAAAAGTTAAATCTGGTTGCTGTGGGTTTCTATATTTATAATCCAAACTGCGTGCTTTATAAAGTCTGTATTGGGCTTATTGAATAAAACAGTGCAGTATTCAAAGCAATCGGGCAATCCCCATTTTGTACTGGTGTAGCTTTAGTAAAGTGAAATTCTGATGGATTACTGCAGTTTGCAATGGACTATTTTTTATTTTTTTTCTTCTGGCAACCCTGTTTGTGTCCATTATCCCACTATACCCAAGCAATAAAAGCAGTTTGGATTAGAAGTTTAAATAAAATTGTAATTATTCATTGCTGTAAATCAAATCTTTGATATGAGACCAACCTTTAAGGCCTATTCACACTATTGTGGTACGTTGGCATTTGTTGTGGCAAAGCAGCCCATTCAATTTAATGGGCTCCGGAATACAGATGGAGCATTTCTGGCAGTTTGTGGGATGCACATTCATCAGCAAGGTATGTTGGGGTGCCATACAGAATGCGGTAACCCAATAGTGTGAATGAAGCCACCAGACAGGAAGCCAAATCTTCTTTGGGGAATGATGTTTGAGTTCCAGAGTTGCTTTGGGAATATTAATGCCCTGCATGGAGCTCTCAGACTGTCTCACAGTTTTTATATGGCAATAAAACACTACAGTTGGTTAAAGGTGGTTACACCTAATCAAACACTGATAATGCACGCTTCTCTTATCCTAGTGCGACAATCTAATGGAATCTAAAGCACATCTTTCTGAATATGTAAGCTATGGGGCATTAACTTTAAACTTTTTTGAGTTTTGTAGCGTGGTATGTTTGGCAGGTTTTGTAAATTGTTGTGCCAAAGTGGGCAGAGACCCCACCGCACTGCGCCTGTCTGTTACCTTCTATTAAAAGGAAGTACTGTGAAAATGATTCAGGACTGAATACCTCATCTTCCTTGTAAGGGGCAAGACTGGGTATTATTGGGTTGGTTTTTGTTGTATTTTTTTCTATTTAATATTATAATGTATACAAAGTTTGAGTAAATAAAAACTTTCAAACTTAACTATCCAGTCTGTGTTAATCATTATAATGCCATCCTGATCCAAATCCAGAGCATTTGTGTCACCAAGATGCATCCTTCCTTACCTGCAACTAGAATGACAAGTCAAAATAATTTAAACTTAATTCATTTCCAGGAGTCACCATTCACAATGCGCATCATGATTTCTATTGAAGAACA